TCCAGCAGATGTTGAGTTTGCACTCAGCCATTCTGCTTATCTCAAACTGTCATTTTTTATTTTTCTATGCCCAAAGGCAGCTTAACTCCACATGATTCACAAATGTCAAAAACACCTTTCAAGATAAACATATGCCAAGTATTTTTAGAGAGACAACAATGTCATGCACTTCTTTTTGATAGCAGAAGCATTTGAGTTGATTTCTTCATTTTTTTAAGCAATTATACTTTGTTATTCTAGGCTCTTGAAGAAGTCGAAAAGAATGTCCTTTCCATGAGGCAAATGCTTTCAGGGGATGCAGAAACCGAACCAAATCAAGATCATATTTCACAGTTGGTTGTTGAAATATGCAAAGGGGATGTTCTTGCTCTATTCATTCATAAGTTGCCAACTTTGAGTTGGGAAGTAAGTGCAACCTTCATTTGGTACAATTATGACCATCATTGATGCCAAAGCTAATCGATGCTTTCAAATCAGGCCAGAAAAGATTTGATGCACTGTTGGTCCATTTTATTAAGGCATAACGTTGATTCTAGATATTGTTGTGTGGAATATATTGAGAATCATTTGGAACTTTTGGACTTCCTCATTATCTGGTAAGTTATCTGTCTCTCAAGCATACTTAGTTTGTCACCTTATCTTCAGTATGTATGAGAACACTTCTTCCTGGCATCAATATTTAAGTGAACTTAGTACATAGTTGATTAGCTAATTCTATGTTTTGGTTCTTAGGTTGCTAGATTGTGGTGAGGATCAATTGGGTATACTCAGGAATCTTCCATGACTAGTGCAGGGACAACCCTTTCTTCAGTCAAGCATCAGTGGCTAGATGTTGGTTTCTAAGTCCTATATGCAATAAGTAGCTTAGACCATATGCAATTCAACCTTCGTATTGCCCATGGTCCATTTTAATGTGATAATTGAGTGATATGACAGTAGAGGACTAGTAAAAGAAGTTTAACAAGAAAATTAACATTATCGTTGTGATTCATCTGGGTCCAGTCTTTTATTTGTTTGTAGCTTCTGGCTTAATGGAATGCTATATGTTTTTCTTAAATAATTTTCACATTACATTGAACGCTGTACAAGATGCTTTCGCATAGTATTGAACATGAGATCTATCAACTGTGCAACAGTGCACTAACCACTAGGATCTCTATTGAATGATTACAACATGTAAAGTGAGTCTTTTGTTGTGGTCACAATCTGATAGGATAACTTATGTCCAAAATGCTTAATTCCAAGTTAACAAGTGTACTTCCATCAACCTCTTATATGTTGATCTAAGTTTTAGTCCACTTTTGATGTGGGTCTAAACCGAGATGACATAACCTGCCCCACTTAAAGGACGTTAAGCACCTACGTAGCCCAAATCACCCTAGTATAGTGCATGTGAGGCCTACTCCAATGGTCCCTCCATATCACACTCTTTGGCCCCATTGGACAAGTAACCCTTTTCTACTCAAACCCCTTGCCATGCCCAATACTAGATCAACTCTGGTTGCATTTTGTCATGACTCAATCTTATGGGATAATTGCTCTATTAACTTCGTCGAGTCTAAACCACTGGTCCAAAAATGTTTAAGCTCAAGTTAATAGTAATACACCCATTAACCCATTAGCCTCTTATATATCAATCTAAGTCTTAGCCCACTTCCGATATGGGCGTAAACATACTCATCTAGTTGGAATTAGCCCAGGTTGTAATTAGCCTCTTAACGATAGTACAATTGTTAGCCTCTTATATGTCAATCTAAGTTCTTAACTTCTTAAATGTCAATCTAAGTCTTAGCCGTTTGAACCAGATCGGCTAAGGTGTGCATGGGCCACACCTAATTTACGGATCCAAACTTGAATCCAGATGGGCCTTGCCTTGCATTGCTCGGGTGCCTCTGCGAAGGTCCCTATCGCCTGATGATTTCAATGTCTTCAAGGAAGAACTTTGCTCTTTTTAACAGCATGTTTGAATAGGTTCCCTTAAGTTGGTTTAGATGTTAATCTTATGGTAACTGCTTGGAATATGTTGATCGTTTTTTTGGGTCTTATCATCATCTTTGGGTATCTTCAAGGAAGAACCTGACTTTGCTTTTTTTAACAGCTTGTTTAAATAGGTTTCCTTAAGTTGGTCTCAATGTGTTGATTTAACTGTGATTGAATTCGTAAGGACATGTGAAGGTTAAAGCAATTTGATATAGTTAATTTTTACATATGGTCTCACTTTAGGGATGATTTTAGCATCCTAAATCAAGGCATTTTCTGTTCAGTCGAAATTAGGTTTTGGTAGCGTTTTGAAGCATGCATTACACCTACCCTTTAAGAATCGAACTACATTATGTTTAGCCTTGGAATTGCAGTAGTTACTATCAGTAACAAGCAGTGGAATTGTAGGAGTTCCACCCTACTTCTACTCTGGTTTCTTTCTGTTTAGCCTTGTTCACTTGCAGTTTTCTGGATTTTTTCACTTCTACATTATGACAAGAAACTACATTATGCTGGCGTTTTCAGTGAAGTCTTGAAGCTTAATTTAGTTACTGATTTCCAAACAGTTACAACAACAAAGAGATTGCGTTGAGCTGTGGTAACATGCTGAGGGAGTGCATCAAATATCCAACTCTTGCAAAGTAAGCAACTTGAAATCGTTGCTAATTTTGGTTTCTTGTCATCATTATCTGTCTATGTCACATCCCAAGTGGACTTCCAACATAGAAACATCCAGAATGTACCAACAAATCAATTCAGTACCATAATGTACCAAGCATAATTTGATATTGCAATGCATGTTTAAAGTCTTACTGACAATGGACTAATCGCTCAAATAAATGTAAGCTTGATCATTTATAAACTTAACACACAACTTGATAATCCTTCCACCTTGATGCTCATTTAGATCTTGTGGCTTTGAAAAGTTATAAACAACACATCTAAAATGTAACTAAAACTAGTTTTATATATGATGCATCTATAAGTTTATAGACTAGTTTTAGATTAGTCTATAAGTTTTAAATCAAGTTGTGGGATAAACATATTAAATGAATTGTTTTTCTTTCAGCAGCTAATCTGTTGAAACAAAGACTAAACTTGGATTGTAATATACAATTATGCTTGTTATGTTATGGTACATTCTGGATGTTTCTATGTTGGAAGTCCATAGGATGTGTCAGTCAATCTTATTTGTTGTTGGCATATCTGAATGTATTCAGTTAAAGTAAATGCATAAATATTTTAAGGTTGCAATGTATGGTTAGCGTTTGCAAAATTTAACTATATGATCGTATTTTGATCAGTTCCTAGTTTGTTTCATATGCTTCTCCAAACTAATCAAGATCTGCAGCCTTACTGTATAGCTACACATCAGTTGAAGTGAAACTGCTCATCACAATTATTGTTATGAAATTATTTTATTTTTTACAAAAGTAACGTTATAAAATTTTCACTTTAAAATGGTTGTTATGTTATCTTTATCTTGTATACCTAGGCCTTCTGAAGTCTCTATTTGGCAAGATGATTTTTTTAATATTCTGTTTGTGATTCATATTGACAAATAAATTCAACATTGTTCAATCTACTCATCTGATCAGTTTGACACAGGACATTTTATATTTTGTTGATATTTGGATTTTGGATACGAAGTCTGTTTCAGAATTGTCTGCAGAGAGTGGTTCATTGATTTTAAGAACTATCTGATTGTTATTTACGTAGGACAGACTGCAATATGTTTATAAATTATAATTACATGAGTTATTTGATTTCATGTAGTTTATTTCCTTTGTCTTCAAATAATCCTGCATACTTGTGTGTGATTGATACCTCCTTAGATAAATCCCAAGTGCAATGACATGAAAGCAGTGACTTACCACGTATTCTTTAAGAAACATAGGATCTTAATGAACTTTGAGGAGCAGGTTGAAACAAAACTGTAATATTTATAAGATTTTTCATATGAAATTTCTAACTTCTCATTTATCATATTATGGCCATTAATTTTTTGATTTTGAATGCATTTTGATTTTGTAGTGATCTTTCAGATGTATCCTGGAATCAAGGAGCTTTGAATTATTTTTCAAATATGTGGAATTGCCAACATTTGATATTGCTTCGGATTCTCTTGCTACCTTCAAGGTCAGTGTTGCTACTTTTCGCATCCCTATCATCATGTTTTAGACTCCACGATTATGTTCATGCACTGTCCCATGCTTACTCATGGATGAAATTTTGGCAGGACTTACTTACGAAACAAGAAATGATAGTCTCTCAGTTTTTGAGTTCACATTACGTTCAGGTCAGCTATCAAGTTTTTCATGTATTATAGTTGTTCAGGGGTCAAGTTTTTCAAATCCAACTTATTGCAATAATTTGCTGGAAAATTCTGCTAATTAGACAAGATGTTTCTGGTGTGTTTTCTTTCATCTGATTGAAGAGTTTCATGGCAGTTCTTTGAGCTTTATGAAAAGCTATTGACATCTCCTAACTATGTAACAAGAAGACAATCCTTGAAGGTTAGTTTTATTAGTGATCTATATTTAGCTTCTGTCTCTGATTATTTTGTCATTAGTAGTTGGGTTGATGTCAGTTAATATTTAGATTCTCTCGGATTTCCTTTTGGAACCCCAAAATTTGCAAATAATGAAGCGCTACATTTTAGAAGTTCGGTTCTTGCATATTATGATGGCATTACTAAAGGTAAATGATTTTTCAGTTTTTTTCTCCTATACTACTTTTACTAGTTTATTTTATGTTTTTTAAAGTTGTAGTTTTGCCTGATGTACATTGTTGTTTTATATGCAATTACTTTATTGTGTCCAATTTTGTATTTCTTGTTATGTGAAAAATGGAAGAGTTCGATTATATTCAACACTGTATTAGAAACTATAGCAAAGTGTGATGACAAAAAACTTATATTGGCCCCATATGAAGTTTATTCTTTCCATTACCTGGTTATGCAACCCTAACTCCAGCATATATAAATATAAATATAAATAAATAAATTGAGTTCGTGGTCACCAAATGTGTTGTGCCTTTTTTGCCTATTAATCTAAAAAAGATCCCATTGTGTCCTAATGACAACGTTAAGGTCCCCCCCTCGCTAGATCCCATCATATCCTAACAACAATTTTAGTTTACTAAGGTCCTCCCCCATCCTCTCACTCACTTCCCTAAAACACTTGATCCACAATCTTCTATCTGTAGTCTAACTCTAGTTTTTACGAACATTTAAGCAATGGTTGCATCTAAAATTTCATATAGACTGTGAACCATCAGAGCCTATAGCATCTAAAATAGAGATTCATCTTGCAGCTGCGTAGTCACTGCTATCTCATTTTTTAGTTGTGGATTTCATGTAAAGAAAAGATAATTTAGTTGTGAACACTTCATATAACCATTTTTTGCTTCAGCAAGGCAACTTCCAGAAAAGAGTTTTCTTTTAATCTCTGTTTCCTTTTAATGAATGCTGACATTTCTGCTCCATAGTTGAGTATAGATATACAATTGTGTACCTTTTTGTTTAAGAATTGATATCTGGTATAATGTTATTATATGCTATTTATGGTCCATTTGATTTCATTCATAAAGAGTATTTATATTAAGTTTTGATAATCATATGGAGCCCTAATCTGCATATGTCGTATTCTATTTAGGACACAAGCAAAAATATCCAGATTTCTGCCTTCCACATTTTCAAGGTAGTTGTTTTCTCAGAACTTTTGGCACAGTTATGCAAAATCTGCTGATAAATGTGTATTTCTTATGTTTTTATGAGTTAGTTGTCTTTTAATGTTTTACCTTGAAAGAGGAATCATAAAATTTAGTAATAAACTTGGGTTAACCAATTGGTTTTTAAGTCATATAGTACTCAAAGTTGCATTGCCATGAAGTAGGAGATTTTATGTTTCTACTGATGATTGTTTGTGTAATTCTTTTTTTTACCTAAAATTAGGTATTTGTTGCTAATCCGAATAAGCCACGGGAAATTATTGAGGTTTTGATAGACAATCATGACGAGCTGTTGATGTCACTGCAAAATCTTCCCATGAGCAAAGGTAAATTTCTGTGTTATGTATCTGTTATTTGACATGTTCTAGCGAAAAACGATGAAAAATGAGTCATCTCATGACAAATATTATCGCATTGGACTGACAATGGTTTGTCGTATGATTGGGGCACACCTTGATATCAGCTTGGTTAAGAACTAAAAAAGTAATGAAGGAATCAGCCTCCCATCTCAGTTTCATAGGATTCACTTCTTTTGTTCTGATGTAGGTGAAGATGATCAATTTGAAGAGGAGAAAGATTTAATCATCAAGGAGATTGAAGAACTTTGCAATCTATCGAAGGCCACGACGTCATAGGTCTGCCTTCTTCGTTTTATATATTTTTTTATTTTTTATTTTTTTGTCTTATTTGTTTGTGTGATATGGCATTATTTATATTTGATCAAATCTGGTTTATTAAGAACAACATTCATGGAGATGATGTATCTCTCTCTCTCTCTCTCTCTCTTTGGGTCAGAATGATACCTCATATCCTCGATTGCTGAGGTGGATCTCACTCGTATCGCCCACCATCATTGTGGTCGGAGGCCTAGTGTGATCTGACATGCAGCTCCGCATTGGATCCTATCAATTCTTGCAATCACAAGACAGATGTTATATGCGACAGGTAAAATATCTCTCTCCCTCCGCGGCTATACCGTTGCTAACATGATCCATCAAACCATAGTTTGAAGACTAATAATCTATAATTACTTTAGGAATTGAGAGCGGGATGGTTGGTTCAATGGGATATATGCATAATTACATCAAGAAATAAGCATGTTCCATAAAGATTCTAAATTAGTCGGATAGTTGGGAGATCGAATAAGGAAATAGTGTAGAGGACACTGACACCTAACACCACTCGGAACTTAAATATTTCAAAATTCCGACACTCCCACCATTTCTGTCAAAAGCAAAAGTACACAAAACTCCTCTCCGCCATTTCTCTCTCTCTCTCTCGCTCTCTTTTTTTTTTTTTTTTTTTTCTTTGTCACCACAGTCACCACATACACTACCATATTACAAAGAGACCCCAAAAAGGAAACATCACCTCAGAAAGTTGCTAATGTTGATCTCTCTCTGCACACCTATGCCTGCGCTTCTAACGGAGATGGCAGCCTCCCCTTCTGAAACCGAGGAGGAAGATGCTTGGTGTGCTTCTTGGGGCCGACCGTCCACGGCAAGAACACGCCCGTGCCATTGCGGGGCGCCTTCTTGCCAGGGCCCACAACCATCGCCCTGCGCGGCGCCACCATTACCACGGGGCTGTGGAGAGCCAATCCCCATGCGGCCGGTATCACGCGATGAGGCCAGGCGATGACCCCCGCGGTAGCCACCTTCTGCGGTGTCGTCGTCGTCTGTGCTGTCCCGGGTTGCCAAACCGTCATCGCCTTGGTTGGCTGCAACGCGGTAGGCGAAGCTGCCGCCTGGCGAGCGGCGGCATGTCTCACCTTCACGAATGTGACGATGACCCTCTTGTTCGGTGAAGCGCAAACAACGTGCCTCGCCATGTCCGCGCTGTTACCGCGCATGACTAGGAGTGACCTGCGACCAACAAATATAAAAAAGCAAGTTCAACCTTCTCATCATCGAGATGGACATTGGTATCCGGTCCATCGCATGCATACCCTTGCTTGATGGGAACCGTCAATGAACCCTTATAGTTTCCTTCATGATCGCTAACAAGAGACCGCCCAAAAGCGATCGTAGTTTCCGAGAGGACGAGTGTGGAAATGGGATTGTCCAAATGCGGAGGTTTGAAGTACGGCTGCGAGTGCTCATCCTGTGAAGCCACACGAGAAAACCCGGCATTAGAATTACGAAAGGTTTCAGGCATATGTAAAGATTTGCTCGAGAGAAAAAGGGGGCGTGTTACCTCGTCGAAGAAATTGATGATGCAACTGTCGGGCTTCCTAGTCTCGGGTATCAAACGCCATTGAACCAAGTGATCGATTACAGTCTGCAACGCAGAGGGAATTGGTTCGATGTTACCTGTGCATCAAACATTTCTTATGTCAAGACAATCTCAGCTTACTAATCGAGTACGAAGAAGCCAGAAATGGGGCTTTTACTTGCTGCCTCCGTCGTTGATTGGAATAGTGGGACGCCAAGCTGAATGATCTCTCTCTTGTTCCCTTTCATTTCTTTGTTGAAGAATATATACGTCTCACCTGAACACACATGCACAAACTTCATGGTAGAAGGTGGGCGATACATATAGCAAAAAGAAGAAGCATCAAGAACAGAACTTTACCTGGGAGTTCGCCGCCGCGCCCCGCAAGGCGGAGCTCATCTACGAATTCAGAGAGCGTGAGCAGCTCCGAGTCTGTGAAGATGTCCTCGTACAACTTGAGACCCTTCACAACATTGACCTGCTCAAAGCATTTCACGAGTGGAGAAGTCAGCAAACGGGGATCAAATGGGGAGCTGGGAAACATAGAACCGAACGACTACTACTTCCTACGCCATCTTCTATTGCATCTCTATACAGAAACTGTGCCCAATGATGGTGGTAAGATGGAACTCGCCATGTGCCCTTTCACCGACTCCTTGGCCACAAAACCTTTCGAGATCTTAATCCTCTCCGGACGCACCGAGCCATCTACTTCTGCTTTCACATCGGCCTTGTCCGATGAAGCTGGTGCTTCTTGGGGTCCTAAAACCACACGAAACCCAATGTCAGTGAGAACATTGATGCCGAGAAATCAACTTCATTCAGCGGCGTATTTTAACAAGGTCGGCCGCCGTTCCAAAGGTTGAAAATCTAGATGCATAGCATGAATTGCTTCCGAGGAACGCCGCGGACGGGCCTGGCGGACTTGACCTCACGCTGTCGGGCGGCTGCCACTTTTTCTACTCCCGCCCGCCGGCGGTTGACGTCAAGAACGCGACGCCGGACCGCATCGTTACGCCTCTCGATTGAGTCGCAGCCGATCAGGGATCCACGCCACCTCCCCTCCCCGATCGACAACCACCTGATCGAACCTGTGCCACGTGGCACAAGCGTAACCGTCCAATACTCCCTCGACTCCCCGTGCCCCGGGGGTTGTGGCGCCCAGCCTCGTTAACGTACTTCTCCCTCTAATAGAAGTTCACGCCACCCTCTCTCTCTCTCTCTCTCTCTGATCTCTACCGCCTCACTCTACAAGTCCAAAAGGAGGAACTTATCGTGAAGCGTGAAATTAACAGTGCCCGAAGGCGCGGGAGTACGGCGAGTCCGCCGCAGCCCGTGAACCCTTTCACGGGCCGAGTTAAGCGACCGGAACTCACCCTCGCAGACGAGTTAGCCCGGTGAGGCGACCTAGAAAACCGAATATAGATCGGAGCATCAACAGCACCGTCCGATCTCCCTAGAAGGGTCAGTTAGGTGGTGGCTCGCGCGAGACGAACCGATACTGATGCCGAAATGCAAGTAAAAAGGATCTCCGGAAGGTTATCGAACACAACGTGTTATATAAAATAAAAATAAATCAGATAAATAATTTTTAATTCACTAATTTATTGAAGAGTAAAGACACCGATGGTTGATACTTACCTCCGTACGCTTCACCGTCTTCGACGCCCCTTTGATCCGAAGAATCTCCGGAAGGTTTCTCCTCCGCCGCCGCCTCGGCCGCTGCCTCCGCCGCCGCCGTCGCTTCTTCCTCGACCGCGACCTTGGGGTCGGAAACTACCGCCTCGGGAGCAGCAGGTTCCTCCTCCGCGGGAGGGTCGTCCGGGGCGAAGGAGGCGGCCGCCGCGCGGTTAGCCACCACGAGGCGGAGCTCGGCGGAGACGTCGGCGATGGAGAAGTACTTCTGCAAGTGGAGAACCGGGATCCAGTTGAGGCGGCGCCTGTGTATGGCCGCGAACGCTGCCTCGTACTCCTCCCCGCCTTCGATCTGCGCCAGGTGGCCGCACAGCTCGTCGATGATCGCGTTCGCCGCCGCGAACTCCCCCCGGAACCACGCGATCATCGCGTCCCTCGCGTACACCGCGGTCGCGTCCCCCGCTCCCGCCGCCGCCGCCATCGCCGCCACCAACACTCCTAGAGAGAGAGACAGAGACTGGGAGAGAGGTTGGAATAGGAGGAGATGAATGGGAACGAGGACAAGCGGAACTACGCCCCGAGGGCTCTATAAATACTCGGGGAACCAATGCACGCCTCAGCTGACGTGGCGGACTGGGAGGAGTGGAGGACGGTTAGCGGGACGAGCGGAGCGATACCGCGACCCCAACGGAACCATCGGAGGAGATAGAAGGTGCGACCGTCTCGCGTAAAGTAGGCTCACCGCGGTGAGGGGATCCCGTCCCTTCGCTTTCCGACGCGCGTGGTCCTCGCACGATCGGTGACGTCGACGCCTCCACGGCCGTTTGATCCAGCGGACCCCGCGGCGGGACCGGTGGGCCCGGGGATCTCCACCGTCAAATATTCATCGGGCTGTTTTGGTCAACAGACCCCTCGGCTGCCGTAAGGGCGAAGCCCCATCGGACGGTTACGAGATCGCGCAGTATGGACTCTCCGGCCCGTGATACGTACACCATACGTACGTTCCCCGTGGAGAGGGGCGTGCTGATGTCGTCAGGGAGCACGTCCGCGGCATCGCGTGTGCTGTGTCGCGCGAGGCAGGGAACACGGTATCTCGCGCACTCCAACGTGACCGTCCTCATCGCCAAAGTATTCGTGCCTATCTCATCTATTAATCGGATAATTAAAATGGGATGATGCATTGAATCTATATCATGATATCAGCGGGTGGCGAAAAAGAGACTGCGTGCATCGGACGGCTGTCATGCGAATCAATTCGATCAACAGTTCTCTCGGATTAAAGTCGACGTTAGAATATTCTGATCTGATATTTCATGATTAGGGCCAAAATGGCTCCTCGTGGAATCGAATCGCTCGAAAGGTTGATTTAAATTAAGGCAATTAATCTGCTGGAGCTACATGTCGTCGTCTGTCCCGTTCCAAGTATCACGGTATATATATATATATATATATATATAGTTTGGGGTGGCGCGTGTGATGTGGCTTGTGCTGTGGATCCCAGTGAAGCGTGCAGTTAATTCGTGGAGGGACAAATTTTGTATCGTATTGCACGAGGTGTGGGGCCCGCGAGGGGCGACAGATGGTTGGTCGATCAAGGGGAACCTGACGTGGGACCCGAAGGAAAACGACCGCAACGAAAAGGGCAAAAGAAGAGGATTTTTTAGGGGGTAGAGAGATCCACCAAAAAAAAAAGAAAAAAAGAAAATTGAAGGAAGGGTTAAAAAGAAAAGGAAAAGAGAAGCTGTAAGGGGGGTGGTCACAGTATGGTGATCTGCATGTACTCACATACACTCAAAATATAATGTTTGGTGGGGTCCAGTGAAAATATATTATTTTTTAGGTAAAAACTCCTGTAAAAAGAAAACAATTATTGATTTAGAAAGGAGGGAAAAAAAAAAACAGGAAAGTATAATAAAAAAATGGTAACTACAATAGAAGGTCAATCTGTAATTGGGTCAATGAACCCCTTCTCAAACTCCCTTTCTTGCCTCTTATTGCCATGCCAAGTGCACCATATGCATTCTCCTCCATACTAAATGTCATTGGATTTGATCACTTAACAATACCTAATTTTGAATCGTCATCACTGGTAAGTTAGTTAACCTGGATGGAAGATGATATAAAGTGTAAATATTTTTCCTAAAGTCAAAATTCTTTTGGACAA